CTCCGCCGCGGACACGCCGGATGTAGTGTTACCCCCCTCCTTTTACTTTCTCGCCCTTAATTCGTAAGAGGAGGAAATTTGTAATCGTGCATCCGAAAATAGCGAATTCTTGCCAGAAAAACCTCTTATTGGTAGGCCCTGGTAATGAAAAAGGGGATAAATCTTGCTCATATATACAGCAAATTACTTTACCTAACTCGTGCAGTCACAATTATGCTTTGTGGATTGTTGACACGGGAAAATCGATTGACGGCAAAACGTCCGTCTGTTCGTCCATGTTTCCGTCTGTTCTTTTATACAACTGTTTGTGGCCAAAGCTACCGCTAAAACCGTTCAGTCGAATTTTCCCATAATTGGAAATCCATCAATTTAAAGAAACTTGAAGCCCTCTGAGATTTAAATGGATAATTTTATAAATTCCGTAATTGGATAATTTTATATTTTACGCGAAGCTCAAAAACGTTTTCAAATGATTCTCAAAAGTGGCTCAATTTTTTTTATAAAAGAACGCTGAAGCGAATGATGCTGCCCTAATTTTCTTTGAATTCCCTTAAAAAATGCTAAAGTTCAAAATTTTCGGCGTCATTCTACAACTACAATTTTAAAGATAGAGACTTTTTTCCTTACTGCAATTTGTTTTTTAAAGAGAGATATAGAAATAAGGTCATGTACAATTTGTTGAAAATATAAGTACTTTTCTCGAATTTTTTCGTGGAATGAAGACCATTTTAAAATTCTTTTGAACAATTATGTGCAAAAAATGACGAAAAAATGGTGCTAGTTTCCTTTCCCTCAGTATTTTTGAAAAATGCAAAGATTTAACATATCAAAACTACAAAATTGAAGATTGAGATTCTGCCCGTAAACAAAATCGGTTTTAAATAATCAGCTTTTTAAATAGGGTAATGCAATTTTTTTAAACTAGTAATTTTCGCAGAATTTGTGCTTGAAATTAATGCAATTTATTTAAAAAATTGCTCTAAAAACCGATCCATATATTTTCTTCTAAGGTTTTCATTCGATAGAACAAGGAACGCTTAAAATAATGTTGCAAATCTCATTTTTTGAACTCCTATTTTCGAAAATGGCAACTTTAATAATGCGAGAAAGTATGTGCCGTTGTATCACTGTATTTTTCTTTGTAGGCCTTCTAGGTCCTCTTATTGACCTTTTTAACTCTGAATTTAATGTCATTAGATTCATTGAGTGAACTAGAGCGGCTTTAAATTGTGTGAACACGTTCAGCCGAAGCCCACACCCTTCAATGCCTAAGTTAATGCAACGTTAGATAAAAAAAAATGTATCTAACGTGTGTTTTGTAATTTACAATTGGTTAACTGAGAATAAATTACGCAACTGACTCAAACTTGTGAATAAATACAGCCTTCCTAAAATCGTGACTCGTGACCATGAATAGCGAATTTAATACTTTACTGTCTGTGATACGGAGTATAAAGTATTGCTATATTGCAGAAAAACAGCTACTTTTTAGAGAAAAATTACAATTTTGATTGGCTATTTGATTCCAAGTTAGTATTTTTAAAGTTTGTACTTACCACAGGTTGGGCTTGTCTAATTACTTTTTGCTGTTCAGCTTTCTCCAAATCAAAACCTACAAAACACGAAGAGAATGTTATTCTTTATTATTGAAGACTTCTTAAGCGATACACGTGCAATACACGTGCTTCATTTTATATTATACTAACACAATGCCTTTTAACTCTTATCAACCATTTTACTCGTAATAATAAATCATCTGTTTACTAGATCGTTTCTTAAACAACCAATTTGCACCTCACAACTCAACTGCACAACTGTTCAAACAACTCTCTATGACGTATGTCTTCGTTACGTTTTATTGTGATCCACGCATCAATTAATCGTTCTTTATACTCAATATTATTGATAATGAGATGCATTGTATTGGGAAATTTTGTGAAAGATAAAACAAGAACGATGCAATTTTCTGAAAACCTTACATCAACCGAGTCGGAACAAAATGCTTTACGTATTTTCTAATAGTAAGTAACAGTTTTAAATTATATCAACTCCAATATGTGTGATCAAGCTCATTAATTTGAAACCGCTAACACGAAATGAAATAAATTGAGACGAAATAATACCTTCCGAACTTCTCACTTAATCAACTCGTCATGAATTTTAGAGAAAGACATAATGCCTCAAGAAGTAAAGAAGCTTACAACTCTCTAGAGTAGAGTAGCTTCCATTCAGGAAGTTATCATTCATCTGAATACGACTCCAAACGGACTTGACTCTTTCCTGCGCTTTTAAATATTTGGGGAACTTGCGAGTTAAAACGCTCACTTATCCTGGACGAGCAGATCAGAATCATCCAAAGCCGTTATTTCTCACGCTCCGAGCAGTCGCTCTCGCAGTGAGGCGAACCTGAAGGAGAAGAATGGAAGTATGAGGCGCGACCGCCCACAAATCTCGCCCTCTTGATATTCGTTCGGCCGCCACCGCCGCCCACGCGGGCCGTCTATCACAGCAGTCGGCTGCTCTGTCAGTGCCCGAGCCGCGCGACGCGTCCATTTAGCAGCCCATCGGCGCTCCCCGCCTCGGCCCC